CAGGAATACATCAATTATCCATTTTACAGCCAGATCAATTGTCTCATGGGGAAGTTGAGTAAACATTTCCTTAATGTCATAAGTACGGGCTATTATCCCACATTTAGATAAAGACCCTTTCTTCTCGTTGACTTTAGTTATCTCATGTCGAAGGTCACCCATCGTTCTGAGATTAAAATGAGAAACTTTGGTCTTTTTTATCAATGAGTTGAGGGCTAAGGATAGGACCCCAGATGCTGCACGAAAAGGACTTTGATAGGAAGGAACAATCGGTCTTCTTTTCTCTTTATCCTTTTCTTTGGCCATGATATAGGCGTTTTGTAGTTTCCCATGTCGGTCCCATCGAGCCACTTTTTCCAACCCCATTTGATTGTATTCCGTTCGGATTTCTCGTAGCATTGTACTTTTTGCAGATTCTTCCTTATGGTAGTTCCCGTTTTCCAAAAACATTACATTGAGTCCCTTTTCGTAACTCTTCTGGCACTCAATCCACGTCTCGCTGGTATTGCGATCCAGCGGACACATCACCGACCCCGCAAATGCTTGCTTTACCCTGAGTACATACTCGCTCATGACACATCCTGGCGGCACTGTTTCCCCTTTCCTTGCAACAACTTCAAGGGGTATCCGTAGCTGTCCAGTAGCCTCCCCGTTTTTTCGAATCACATTAAGGGCTTCATTACAGGCCAGATTCAGTACATCATGTGATGCAGTGGTCCCGGGGAACGGGATGTTTTTTGCATTAAATAGGAATGGGTTTATCCCGTCGACTTCGCTTATCTTGACTGCGACGTGCCCATTAATTTTGGGTAAGTCGAAGTTTTCGCACACACACTCAAAGGTGCTGCTTTGTGTGAAAAACTTTTGATTATGCAGAATGTATCCAACTGATTTGGCTTTAAACCAGACAACTCGAGCTTTCCTTGCATACAGGTCAGCTAGCGGGGCTGGTTGGATATTCCCCACAATCCATTCACGCAGACAATATTCCACCTTTTTTTTATTAATGCTGGTACAAAACAGGATTTTAGCAACAATTTTAGCCCAAGAATTAATACCAAATTTTTTTTGAAAAACATTTGTTAAGATGCCACGAACAATATGTCTTCCACGCGGCTGAGGGATGCTTTTCACGGCAGCATCTAACTCCAACAGTTCAATGATGCTTAGTTTGGCTAATTCTTTCCTTTTCCAAGGGGCTCGGAGGAGTGCGATGACCTCATCTTTTTTTATATCCGTTTTCGTTTGCGTTCGGATCAGCTGAGTAATTGTCCATTCCCCTCTTTTCTCAATAATCAGTTTGGCGTCTTTTAATAGGAAGTTCTCCCCATCAATTTTAACCTTGCTATGCCCATACAGTAAAGACACCAATCGCCAAGCTTTCATCCACCGCCCGCCTGCGTTGTTGTACATCGTGATTGATTTTGAAATCTTATGTTTCGATAAACTTTTTAGAATAAGAAGCAAATCTGGTTTATTCATAAAACTCACACATGGGCATGAAAACCACAGTGGTTCAAGCATTTTCACCGCAGGCGATGTCGTTTCCCTTGAGAACGTCGTGGGTTCCGGCGTTTCACTGTTCCACGAGCATTTAGACCTGGGTTCAAACTTTTAATAATAGCTTGCTCCATACATTCAATCTCGGATTCATAATTTCGGAGTCAACACCAGTTTTCCGGAGCCAAGAGTGAACTTTCTGTTTGCTATTCCCTTTCACAGCACGACAATGTTCTGCCCATCGCTCACGAAGTGTTCTAACAGTTTTTCCCACGTGCACGAGTTTATGATTAACCGACATTAGTGCGTACACACAACTGTGCGCATTCAACAGATTGCTCTCATTCATCATAGCTTACCCGTAACCAGAATCGGACATACGCTTGTCCCCAACGCACATCACCCCTTAAACAAGCAAGAATAGTCAGTAGCATTTGGACACGCTCAGATAAGTTCCGAAGTATAGGATCATCATCCTCACGTTTTGTATCGATTATTCGAGTAACTACTCGTCTAATCGATCTAATGCTACCCAGACTTAGTTTCCCTTGACTGCATCACAGTCGCCTTCAGAATCATCATGGTTCTTGTCCACAGGGGCCTCCTTCCTGCGAGATCTGCCACGTTCACCAGTTCCTTGGTCTCCTTTCAGAGAGTCGGCGTATTCCTCTAGGTCTTGCCGAGCGAGTTCCCAAACTGCAACGTCCTTCTTGAAGTATTCCACGTCACGTTCCTTGCACATGTCTTGGACGCGTGTGTAGTGTAGCGAGCTGTAGTACTCAGCTTGGATCTTCATGTATGCCGCAAAACCATCCTCATCAGGATCTTCTTCTCCGTCCACTTGGGCTTTCTGTACTATGTCCACGTCTTCCTCCGGGTTGTCAGCAACTGCGGGTCCTCGACGCTCTTGCCCAACCGCCTTGCCTTTCCTTCCTTCTTTAGCACTCCCTGGTTCAACTACCTTTGCTTTCCCTTTTGGGTCTGGCAGGCCACTCATGAGAGCAGCCAACATCCGCTTAATATCGGATAGTTCACTGCTCATGCTTTCCATCTTAGGTTGAAGATTCTGCTTCGCACCAGAGGGTCCCTTATCATCCGACTGCTCGATGCGCTTCGGTTTAGTATTTGAACTCCCTCTTGATCTCGGATTCACACCTGCGGCAGAAGAAGAATTTTCTACAGGGGTGCGAGCAACGCATCGCTTCCGCTTCTCGTTGCTAGAGCGCTCTTTATTCGCCTGCCCGCCTTGCACTTCTCTATGAAGACGTTCAAGCTCGTCCCGTTCAGCAGCATCCAACTTCGACTTCTTATCAACGCCATCCAGCTTCCCGTTGATGAGCTTAAGGGAATCGCTCAGTGTCGTCGTCACCCAGACTTTCATGTCATCGCCGGAGCCGTTCTTCTCATGCGACCGGATATCGGCTTGACTCCCTTCATCCGGAAGTTCTACGACGCGGCTCCCACTGGTACTGCGCCTAGCGCCTTCATACTTCGAAGCTCCAATCTTCTTCTTGGCTTCTTCAATTGCTTTGTTGGACTTAATGCCTTTGAGGATCTCCATGTACTCCTTGGTGAAATATGCCCGGTTACCTGGGCCAGGGAAATTGTTCGCAGTTGGACCTTTCCCTCCACCGCCAGATGACGTGCTCCCCATATGCCCGCCATGGTTTTGGAAACCTGGATTCCCATGCTGAGTAATCGGAGGTTGTTGAACCACCGATATTTGAGCCGGCATTAGAGTCGGTGCTGGGACTGGGGCGCGGGTAGTGATTGCCCTGTCCATGCTGCGCCAGTCTGCCATGGGCCCTGTTGCTGCTGAGGTGGCATCCACGGTTGCGCGCTCTTTTGGTTCGGCATCTGTTGATACTGAATCGGCACCACGGGCGGAGCAGGTGCCGCCGGAGCTGGGTGTACTTGACCACCAGCGTAGTAGTAAGGCTGAATGCCCGGAGGTAACGGGCTTACGGTTGGAGTCGGAGTGGCCGAGTATGGGATGCTCGGCATCGGCTGGTTCTGCACGTTGTTACCGCTGCTATCTCCCTCCATCCAGAATCGACCGCAATTTGACCACTTACCCCGTCGATTGCCGATTTTCCCTCCTCTGCTTCGTGAGTACATGCGCCCGGCCAGACGAAAGAGAGGGCACACAGGCTTACACCAGCTCCCACCACTGCTTTAATCACTCGTGGGTGCTCAAGTATGCTAGTCGATTCTACTGAAGCAGAAGCCTTAATTACCATCCGAAGTGCAGGTCACGAAATCTCGTTGCCCAACAGGTTGTAACTCGGAACGGAGCGACCAATAGTAGGGCAGAGGAATGAAGAATAGAGAACGAGGAGAGATAAAACTTCGCGATAAGAACCGAAAAACCGAAAAAACCCGAAAAACCGAAAAACTAAAAAACTCGAACAAACCGAAAAAACCCAATATGCCCAATAAAAGTACTCGAGCACACCGCTCGAGGTTTCGCGTGATAAGAAACAAAGCATACATTAACGCATGAATCCACCGAGTATACTCGGAGAACACAGCACCTCAACCTCGTTCCCAAGCCATGACAAGGTCGACGCTGAGGCTCTGGTACATGAGAATAATTACACAAATTGAAACCAAAATTTAGAAGAAGATGACTGAGCATTAATATTGTGGTGTACAACATCTTCCTCCCCACACTCCATAACTCGTCGTCACGGACGCATCCGTACTCCGTAGCTACGGAACTCAATCCTTTCACTCAATACACAACTCAGATTGAGGCTTCCTACTACGTCAATATCCATTTAAAAAGTACCTTGAGGCCATATCGTACTTGGCCTACTGCAGTGAAATCGAAGCAGCATTCTCCATGAGACCGGAATCTAGTCCTGTGCTTACTAAAAAAGCAAACCAATTATTATGTGAGATGTACTAGGCCGGCCTCCGAGGCCAGATACTTACGAGACCCAATTTCTGAACACTGCAGACCCCTGTCAGCGGGATC